GAATGAATGAATGAATGAATGAATGAATGAATGAATGAATGAATGAACGAATCTTCTCCCAATCTAACAGTCCCCTGGTCAAGTTTCCAAGACGATGGGGAAAGTATTCCTTCTTGGGAGCAGCGAGATAGCTCAAAAGGAGAGCTATCTCAACTTCTTGAACTACAGAAAGTGTGTGCAACAGCCCCAGAACCATATTTTCTCTCCCGCTTCTCTCAATCCTTCCTCTCCAGAAAGCTTTGGATGCCTTCTTAAAGCCCTTTCCAGACATTTACCCATGGGTAAACATGATCAAACCGTTGCAACATGAGGAATAATGCAAGAGTAGCACAACCTGTCTCTAGCAAAGGTGACATGGCCGGAGTATCTTTTGATGTAATATGAGATTTCACAAGCTGATAAGGGCTTTCTAAGAGAGGGATTGTGATGCAATGTAAGGAGGAGGCGGATTCCCAGGAGGGAGGGAATGCATTCCACAGGAGTTAGAGGCAACTCAGCCCAGGTATTATACGTGAGAGAAAGAGGGTTGAAGACAGCTCTTCCCTAATAGTTCCCAAAGCATAGGTGGTCCTCGGCTTACAACCACAATTGAGTCCAAAATTTCTGTTCCTAAGCAAGACAGTTAAGTGAGTTTCCCCTCATTTTACGACCTTTCTGGCCACCGTTGTTAAATGAACCCTTGCCGTTGTTAAGTTATTAACACGGTTGTTCAGCTTCCCCAATGACTTTGCTTGTCAAAACTTCACGAAAGGCAACACTGCAACCGTCCTAAATACGAGTCAGTTGGCAAACGTCTGAACTTTAATTGTTGGGGATGCTGCAGCAGTTGTAAGATTGAAAAACGGTCATAAGTCACTTTTTCACTGCTGTTGTAATTTCAAACAGACACTAAGGACGCTGTTGTAAGTCGAGGTTCACCTGTATATGCTCAGTGCAGAATAATAAGCTGCTTCAGTTTGGCAAGAGTCTGTCTGTAGGTGTGAAACAATAAAGACCTCAGCTTGGGAGAATCTCTATGTGTCATACTTGGCCTGTAAGTCCCGGAGCATTTGAGCAAAAACGTTTGACGTCAAAGCGGAGCTGATTCTCGCTCTGTGCATTTAATTATCAGTTTAGCTGCATCGTCGTGTCTGTTTCATCCTTAAGTGTGCGCACAGAAAGCTGAGGATATTGCTGGGAGCTACACAAATTGCACCATTCGTATATCATCCGGCTTCCTTCCTTACTCTGTGGTGCCTAATTTACTCTTCGGCTTTTGGTGTTTTCGGATGACTTCATTAATTGACATAAGGAGGGCTGGGTGATGCTTCAACCTGCCTAATAAGCATGTAAGCACTGAGCGTCCAAGTTGGCTGTGGTCGCTTGGGGCCCTCGACAGACCAAATGCAAGCACATCATTTTGCCTGCCGTGCTACAAACTAGATTTCAAAATTGAACAGTCTGATCTGCAGCAGTCCTGTGCTATGGGCACTCTTGGCCCATAGCTATTTTCTCTAGATTATTTTTCTTCCACATTTTGTCTGAAGAGCGTAAACAGTACAGTTACTTGCCTGTTCATCTGGAAAACGGGTGGTTCTAGGCTAAGGGTATTGTTCCTATTCCTCCATAAAACAGGTGATCCTAGGCTGTCAGTATTATCTGATTTCTTCTGTAAAACAAGTGTTCTTTAGCCTTTCTGGATCTGCCTCTTGCATCTCATAAACAGATGTGGTCTGGACAGTCCATTTGTCAGGGTTCCAAGTAATATTCCCAAAATATATAGGACCGCAAGGCAGGGAGATTCTTCAAAGAACTGATTCATTGGAAATACCATACTGGCACAGGCTAGTGAAAACTGACTCTGAATATTCCCAGTTTTCACCAAGTTAAAAAGTTCTTCCTCTTCCCCAAACAGTCAGTTATATGGCCCAATCATCATGTTGTCCGGTTGCCTGGTAATGTCACCCCACTTCTCTCCGACCACCTGTGGCAATGTCCTTGGTTCCCAACAAACAGTATTTTGTTTTGGCCACAAACTCCCTCTATCTCTACTCCCCTGTCCGTAACCCTCAGCTCCAGTGTGGCAATGCTGAAGCTAGAAAATGGCCTCGTTCAGGCCAACTTCAGAGTTGACACCGTTCCTGCCCCGTCATCCAAAATAGGGGTGGTTCTAGGCTGAGGATAAGGTCCCCATTCCTCTATAAAACAGGTGGTTCTAGGCTGTGAGCATTGTCTGCTTTCTTCTGTGAAACAAGTGTCTTTTAGACTTTCTGGATTTATTTTCCTTCCGTTGGACAGGTGTGGTCCTAGGCAGTTTGTTCCTGTCCCTTCATCCAAAATAGGGGCAGTTCTAAGTTGAGGATGTCCCCATTTCTCTATAAAATCGGTGGTTTGGGGCTGCGGGCATTATCTACATTCTTCAAATAAACAAATGTCATTTAGACTGTATAGATTTGCCCCTTCATCCAAAATAAGAGTGGTTCTGGGCTGCCACTCTCTAAATTGGGTGGTTCTAGGTTTTCAATAACTTTATTCTTCTGCAAAACAAGAGGTGATTTTAAGCCAGGAGTCAGCAACCTGTGGCTCCGGAGCAGCATTTGGCTCTTTCATCCCTCCGCTGCAGCTCCCTGCCAGCTCCATAATTGATAGGGCTTTTGGTTAGGACAGGTAGAGGAAAAAGGAGGCCACATTAGGAGGAGACTCTTATGGTGGGGGAACGAGACTTCCGGTCAGCTTCAGAATTGAATGTGGTTGCTGACCCCTCTTCTAAGCTGTCTCTTCATCTGTCTCTTCTTCTGGCAATCTTCTTAAAATTGCTTTTAAGGCTTTGCTTGGGATGTGATGGTTATTTTTGGGTACTTTGTCTCAAATTGCTACTGCCAAACGAAAGCTCTCTCCTGCCAAGACAGAAAAGCTGGTTCACCCAGTCTTGTAATTCTATAATTAAGTTGCTCTTTTGGATGTTGTGCTTGGATAAATTGTGTTAAGGGCTTTATTTGTATGAGTTTTAAGGCAGGGTGGAAACAATATAATTGTGCGCAGCACTTAGCAAGTTGCTGTGGTGTACTGTTTCAGCAGCAATTAAGTGATTTCTGGTGATAAATTTGACGCCTTCTCCCCTCCCCTCCCATCTCAAAAAAAAAAAAAAAAAAAAGCTACAGCACAAATTCAAATGTATTGCAGTTTCCTTTCAGTAGCAGCCAATGGAATATCTCTAATACGAGGTCAAATCAATCTTTTCCAGTTTGGACACCTTCCCAATATGCGGTTTTTCTGATTTCAAAAGATTTAGAATGACCATGATGGGGGAGAATTTCTGGAAATTGAAGTTTTGGAGAATAGCTACTTTGGGGGGGAAAATCCAAATTATCTGATAGACTAGTGAAAAAAACTTGCTGTATGCACAGGAAAAACTACAGGAGATCATTATTTAAGTTACATTAAGAAAAGTTCTACAAAATCAGGCCAGAGGCTTCCTTAATCAATCTTTCTAGTCTCAGGATCATTAAGCAAATCCTTTTGAGAAGCCAAGAACCTGTGATGGAATGTAGTCTGGATTCCCAAGAGGGAGGGGCTGCATTCCAGAGGAGGAAGGGACAACTCAGTTCAGGTAGTTTGTGTGAAAGAATGAGGGCAAAGAGAGCTCCTCCCGAATAGTTCCCAGAGATATGCTTTTATGGGGGTGTTAGCAGGGGTGGGCTTCAAAAATTTTAGCAACCGGTTCTCCGCCCAGTTGCTGGGTGGGCGTGTCCATGGTGGGCGTGGCCTAGCCAGCCTCCTGCACTACGACAAGAGGGGCCATTTTTGCACTCCCTTGGCTCCAGAGGCTTCCCTCAAGCCTCCAGGAGGACGAAAACGGCCTCCCCAGGCTCCGGAAGCCAGAAACAGGCCCATTTCTGGCATTCCTGAACTTCCAGGAGGCCTGTTTTTCGCCCTCCCTGGGCTCCGGAGGCTTTCCTCAAGCCTCTGGGAGAGCAAAAACTGCCTCCCCAGGCTCTGGAGGCTCTCTGGAAGCCAGAAATGGATCCATTTCGGGCATTCCCAAACTTCCAGGAGGTCTGTTTTTCGCCCTCCCTGGGCTCCGGAGACTTTCCTCAAGCCTCTGGGAGGTTCCAGGACATCTGTGTTTTACCCTTCCTGAACCTCCATGAAGTCCCTGAACTTACCTGGGATCCAAAATGGGCTGTGGGGGGACTCTTGGATGGGGAGGAGAGGGGTGACTGGGGCCAGCCAGGGGTGAGATTTGCCAGTTCACTGAACCGGCCATAAAATTAGCTACCGGTTCGGTACCGGTTCACCTGAACCAGGGAGAACCGGTAGCAGCCCACTCCTGGGTGTTAGCATGCTTTAGTTTGGCAAGATTTGTCTGTGGGTGAGGACCAATACAGAAATCTTCTTGGAAGAATCACAACATGTCTTACTTTGTTTATGGAGCCCAACACTAACAGAAACGAGCATTTCCTCACCCCTTTCATGCCATTTCACTTGACTTGACTTTGCCTAACACACTACACTCAAGAACAAAAAAAAATCTGAATTTTGATCACGTGACTATGGAGATGCTGCAGTGGTCATAAGTGTGAAAAATGGTCCTCAGTCAACTTTTTTTCAGTGCTGTTGTACCTTTGAATGGTCACTAAATGAACTGTTGGAAGTTGTTGTGGTTCGTTGGCAGAAGGTGCGGACAGCAGAGATCTCTGATAGCGAGGACTCGGATGAGGGGCCTGCGTGTGATGCAGGGATGGGGCCAGGACTATTGGAGAGTGGGGTGCTGCCTTTGGAGCTTGTGGAGTCTGGCAGAAGTGACACAGAAGACCCCAGGGAGCCTGTGCGCATGTGCGCAGGGGCTTCCCAAAGAAAAGAGCAGCTGAAGCAGCAAGGGCAACTCGGGAGTAAGGCTGGAAGGTGATGGATAAAAACCAGCCCTCGGGGATGTGTTCTTTGCAGGAAGCAAAGAAGTTCTTTAGACTCATAGTCCTCGTTGAAGCCCCGCTTACTCTGGTTTGTTTTTGAAATTTCTGTCAGTGGATATTTAATCAGTAATTAGTCTTCTGTTCTTGGCAGCCTTTTGCAATCTTGAAAGGACTTGCTTTTGATATCGGACAATTAGGATTAAATGTTTCTTGGCTGGGAATGCACTGAATTCCTAGCGCCGCATTAAAGGTTTGCTTTTATTCACAGTTTGTGTTTGTTTAATTTATTTATTTATTTATTATTTATTTATTTGATTTGCCATTTGAACAAGGCTTGGGTCAGAACAGAAGTCGAGGATGATCTGTACCTTCTAGTATACAACAACACCTGAGTTTGCCTTTGTGGTTAAATCTTAGGATGAAGATGAATGGTTGAAAGATCTAACTCACGAAGAAAAGGATGTCCTCCTGTTTTTCGAAGAAACTATTGATTCCTTGAATGACGATGTGGAGGAACAAGGCTTGCATGACAGTGGTGTCTTCTGCCATTCTCTAAAGCTGGTAGAAGAAAACACACCGAACCATTCAGGGTCTGAAGAGCTCATAGAATTGGTCCCGTCAGCACCAAAGAACAGCACAGAACCAGGTAAAGTGAAATGATTATATCCTCAGATTGAATTTAAGGAACCCACTTTTCAGAAAAGGTCGCAGAACTAGTATGGTTGCAGTTTGGAGTCATATCATAGGGATGTTTTGTTTTTTAAAAAAAGCTAGAAAATATTTTGGAGTGGGTTTTAGGGTGGTCTTAATTTGTTGTTGATAAGACAGGGCACAGCTGCCTTTTTTTTTTTGCAAGTACTAGGCCATTCCACCAAGGTGCATTTCCAAAAGGTAGCTGGACTGTTGTTGTTTTTCCCTTAAAAATGTTTCGCTTCTCACCCAAGAAACATCTTCAGTTCTGACTCCCAAGAAGAAACTTCTTGGATGAGAAGCAAAACGTTTCCAAGGGGGGGAAAAACCAAGAAACTCCAGTTGTCCTTTTGGGAAGTGGTAGGATTCAAAAAATTTTACTACTGGTTCTGTGTGCGTGGCTTGGTGGGCGTGGTGTGGCTTGGTGGGCATGGCAGGGGAAGGTTACTGCAAAATCTCCATTCCCTTCCCACCCCACTAACCTGCTTTCCAGCTCCGTTCTCCGCTCACGGCAACAAAAGAAGACCCAGCTGATCAGCTGGGACTCGGGAGGCAGAGAATAGATGGGGGCGGGGCCAGTCAGAGGTGGTATTTGCAGGTTCTCTGAACCACTCAAAATTTCCGCTACCAGTTCTCCAGAACTGCTCAGAACCTGCTGAATACCACCTCTGCTTTGGGACAATCACGACCTGGATGACTGAGAGTTTCCGTAGACCTATGGACCATTCCACATAACTTCTAAAACAGATCTAATGGGTATTTTTCTTTCTTTTTCTTCCTAGCATCAGAGGAAACTTGGAAACTGGATGAGCCAAAGCTGGAGGATGTTGAACCATCAAAGGAAGATGTTCATCCAGTTTCTCTTCAGCCAACGCCACCTTCACCACCCCCGTTGCCTGTCGGTGAGACGTATCCTGCTCAACCCACTATACTACATCCAAAGCTCCTTCACTCCATCCCCACACCGCTGTTGATTGCCGAGAAATTGTCTGAGCAGCAGACAAAGGAAAGAAACGCCAAGGAGGGGAGGACCATCTCCACTTCCTCCACCCTATGCAGTGGGGAGCAGGTCAAGCCTTGTGCCCCACCCCCAGCTGCTCCCAAACCCCAGAGGTTCCCGAGCAACATCAGCTTCACCAATGCCAGTGAGCGGGAATTCAGCAAAATCATCTCCAAGGCAGCCGTCAACGTTCAACAGCGCAAGGCGCAAGTGTTGGCCAATGTCAACGCTTCAGCCCTGCTATTAAATGAGTTGGGAGAGAGGCTGCAGAAGCGTGGACTACTGGGCCCCAGCCAAAGCTTGCCCCTTCATGATTTACCTTCTGAGTCCATGGGCCATGAACCCTTGAGTAGTTTAAGCCTGGTTGAGAAAACTCTTGCCCGGGCCCACCTCATCCACCCTCTCAACGTCCTTTCCATAAAGGGCGAGAGGCCCGAACAAGGATGCGGCACACCAGATGGTTATCAAAACATCCATGAAATCATGAAAAAGGATCCTAATTTGTTACCCACCCCAAACAAAACCATGACTGTCAAGCCAGAGGCTGATCTTGTAGATAGCAAGTCTGCTTGGCCAAGTATTTCTGGACAACCTCAACAAGACCTCATCTTTGACATGCAGAGAAAGTTGAGCTCGCTGCCCAAAACTGCAGGACTCCAATCCAAGGGTGTCACAGTGCAATTTTCCAGCCGTGGATCAACAGAAGAAGCCCGAAGGGAGGCTTTACGAAAACTGGGACTTCTGAAATAATAGTGGATGGAGGAGAACATCTAGAGAACATTATGTGCCCGAAGACAGATTCCAATGAAATCCATTCTATTTACCATGCAGGCTAAGGAAGTGTTTGGAACTCTATTGCTCTCTGCTGGCATTTGGGATGGATGTCCTTGACATGAACTCACTGTGCTTATCAGTCTTCAAGGCATTTCATAAAAGCCCGTGTGAAAGTGAGTGTCAAGCTTTAAATGAAAGTCAATGGGTAGTTTGTGTATAAGCCATCTTTGTGTCCCTGGCCAAGTACATCAGAGAATCCCTTGGATAAAACCCGGAAGATCCCAAGAGGACTGTGTTAAGGAATTCTATAAGGATAAATGTATATATCCCCACATATCGGACAGCTTAAATTCGTAATAAACCTGCTATCACAAAGGTTTAACACCACACACAGACTGCAGATCATTCCTTTTGTAGAGTAACTGGTGAGATTGTAGCAAACTTTTCCAGTTTGGTTGATAGCTTGAAGAATATCGAGCCTACTAGATTTGACAAAAGATTCCGTTTCATCCAGTGTTCCATTTCCTGTAGCTTTGCGGTCTCTGTGCTGCTGAAAATCAGTTGTGTAAAAACGATGGGGGGGGGACCCCAATATGTCATAAGTCTGGGTTGAAATCTTGGGCGCCCCATTTTTCTGACCCCCGAGGCTTCACGTTGAAGCATATGATGACCTGCTTTTTCCTCTACCATGTCTAATACAGGATACTCTACAGAAGTGGTATTCAGCAGGTTCTGACCAGTTCTGGAGAACTGGTAGCCCCCCCAAAAAACAGTTGAAAAATGGCCTGAAAAACAGGCCAAAAAATGAGTGGGGGCTGGGCCCAGCCAGTGGTGGGATTTGCCGGTTCGCCGAATTGCGCAGAATCTTAATTACCGGTTCGCTGAACCGGTGAGAACCAGCAGCAGCCTACCTCTGGCATGTTTGGTGGCAGTTCTGACATTATGGAATTTGGGGGTGCAGTCCCAGCTCTCTTACTCCAGTGAGTAGCTCTGGAAGGTAGGAAGCCCAGAAATTGTCTTGCGTGATAAGAAACAGAGCCTTTTCTGGGACCCGATGCCCTCCTTCCCTATCGGATCCTTCTGGTTAAGCTGTCCTGTAGCAATAACGCTGTGAATTCTTGTTTCATCTCAAGCCCTCTTTAAGTCGAAGTGGTGTGACGACGGCCTGTGAATCCAGAGTAAGCGAGTCCCGTTGACCTCATGATGGAGCAATAGCATTGCCTGTGATTTCAATAGAATAAATATCCTTCTGTTGCCAGAACCGTCTCATGATACTTCTGTTGGGATGCTTGGAAAATTGCCTTTATGAAATTTCTCCTAGGGTTGCATCAGCCTTGCAAGATAGTTCTGAACAAGAAGCACATCCAGAAGGACTTACTGTGATGACCCAGGGTGGGATACAAAATAAACACAGTCACAAAAATAGGTGAAGCCCCTTTTATTCCTTCACTTTGCTTCAAAGCTCCAAATATCTCTGACCGGAGACAAAAAAACTCCCTCACAAGCAGTTATGAAAAGGAGGAAATGCCGTTTAAACTAAAAATGCCTATAAATTATAAAGAGTAAACAACAACACAAACCACACTGAAGCAATTAAGGGAACCAGGCAAGATAAGGGCTTGAAGACGTCCACAGAGATCGAAACACACACTGGGAAGGACGGCAAACTCAGATAGGAATGACAGACTAGAGATATTTTTCCATGCTTTGTTTCCAGCACTGGCCCATATGCATGTCCGTCCTTTTACACTACTCACAGCTACAGCCCATGAAGAGGATCAAGGCCCTTTCCTCCCCCATAGAACACACCATTCACGCCTCTCCCTTATCCTCTCCTCCCTGCGTGCCCTAGGATGGAGAGGGGATGGGCCTGGGTCTTCTTCTGACTGCCCAGACGGCCTCTGCCCTTCCCCAGCCTCCTCCACAACCTCCGGAGCTACACTTCCACTCCCTGTCGGCTGTTCCTCCTCTCCCTTGGAGTCAGTCTCCAACAGGGGCATGACACTCACTGTATTGCAAGGTTACATGGGGTTGCAAATCCAAAAATACATCTCTTCGCCCCCCCCCACACCTTGCCTATACAGGTAGTCCTCTTCTTACGACCACAATGGAGCCCAGCATTTCCGCTGTTAAGTGAGACATTTGATAAGTTTTGCCCCATTTTTTTACAGCCTTTCTCGTTCAACGATTCACTGCAGGTGTTAAATTAGTAACACGGTTGTTAAGTGAATCTGGCTTCCCCACTGACTTTGCTCATCCGAAGTTTGCCCAAGGGGAATCCCATGACCCCAGAACACCACAACTGTCATAAATATGAGTCACTTGCTCAGTGTCTTTTGATCCTGTGACTGCGGGGATGCTGAAACGGTTGTGTGAAAAAAATGGTCATAAGTCACTTTTCAGAGCCATTGTAACTTCGAACAGTCACTAAATTTTTATTTTTTTATGAACTGTTTATGAACTGTTGCAAGCCGAGGTCTACCTGTACAATCAGGGGTGGGCTTCAAAAAAATTTAGCAACTGGTTCTCTGCCTGGTTGCTGGGTGGGTGTGGGGGCTGTTTTCACCCTCCCTGGGCTCCGGAGGCTTTCCTTGAGCCTCCTGTATGTTTCTCCTTTTCTTCATCCAGGGAAATATAATATTCTGCCTTTTTAATATTTCCTAGAATGTTTCATTCTTCTAGGAGAGGGGTGGGTGCTAACTTTCTACACCAGGAAGGTGAAAACGGCCTACCTGGGCTCTGTCACATGACCTTCCAGGCACCTTAAGAACAGGAGCTATATTGTATATTTCGCAATATGAAAAAAAAAAACTACCCCTATTATCAGTCATACTTTTAAACAAGGGAGAATTAACTTGATGACAAATTGAGCATGAGACACCTCCATTTCAGCCCAAAGGAAATTAGGTATAATATTTAAAGCTTTTATGAGGAAACATGTAACAACATGGTCTGATTTCCGGCAGCAAATGCTACAGCTTGAAAACTGAGCCACCGACATAATCCTTCCGCTTGACTGTTCCTTAAATTCATTAACTTTCAAGAACATGACCTCTCTCTCCTAAGTAGGCTTTGTTGAAGCAGCATATTTTTCCTTTCATCCGAGCTGCATTTGTCCGAAAAGGCAGAGCTAGCAGAAGATGAAGCCTGTGGCACTGATGGCTTCCCGTTTTTGTGCCGGCTTAATGCTCCAGCTGTGACTTCAGTCACAGCTTGGGAGGGGGGGAACATGTGTTTTCCCACAGCCTTTGGAAAATTTTGGTGGGGATCCTGGCACCCTCACTCTCCTCAGGAACACATTTGGCTCATCATCCCAATCCAATCCAGTAGAAATTCAAATTCCAGTTTATTCAGCAAGCTGGAAAAAATAAGAAAATCCACATTCTTTCAATATTTCCTTCCCTCCCTCCCTCCCTCCTTCCTTCATTCCTTTCTTCCTTCCTCTTTCCTTTCCTTTTTTCTTTCCTTTCGATATTATTTCTATAAATAACTCAAGGCAGCAAACACACAATAATTGTTCCTCCTCCTATTTTCCCCACAACAACAACCATCCTGTGAGGTGACTGGCCCAAAGTCTGACTTTCATACCTAAGGCAGGACTAGAACTCACTGTCTCCTGATGATTGGTCCAATGTCACCCAACCAGTTTTCATACATA